ATATTCATAAGTTTGATGGAAAAAAAGAGTGCGAATAATAGTGATAAAAATTACGGATGTTATGAAGTTGAATAATGTGATGAAGATAAGGGCAGACTGAAAGAGTCTGCAGTCCTGGTCTCAGTCTATAAAAGAATATAGCTGAACTGGAAAATGCTCCAAGAAGAACAACATTGTTTCAAGGGTGAACAGAATAACTTTCATCTAAAGAGTGACTGAATATACTTAAAATGTTTGGAAAAGAGAAGTTAGATGATGACCTAGGGAATGATGGAATCTTCCAATCCAATAATTAGATGCATCAAGTGATAGGCAGACAGAGATGTTTGTTTACTTCAGAACAAAAGGAGATAGTGATTTACCTAGTGTTAACTGAGAGCATGAAAGTTCTTACTGGAGACCACTGCTTTAGATTATATAAAACATATCTGAAGAGCATTAAATGCCAAGTCGGTTCAGAAAGCACCTGGAGCAACTGGGAGGGAAAAATGTTAAAGGAAATAAATCCCAAAAAGACCATTTACAGCTCTGCAAGTCTGAGCTGCACACTTCTGGAACATGAGGAAACTTCTTGTAGAAGCATTTTTTTCCTGCTGTATTTTTTGCCGTAAACATCTGGTATCAATTTCTGCTGTAAAAGGGATACTTTGGTAGAAGGAGATCTGCTATTGCTTTAAAACTGTTTATTGCTTTTACTTTACTTTCCTTCAAAGCATCTGGAGACAGACTCATTCTTTATGATAATGTTTATTTTCTTGCAAAAATTGGTTGACATTCATCTTTTAGGTACACATCATGGTAATTAGGAGATATAGGATAAACATATAGGTTGGATTAGAGTTGGATCATATGTAAAAATAAGGATTTCTTTATATTTGTTTTCACATTTACTTAACTGATCTTGAGCAATCTGGACACCCTGTAGTTGTGTCTATTTAGTAGAAACTGCAAAATTACGATTGATCCTCAAATATTAGTAAGTGCCCAGTGGAGGATTTCCTGTTGAACCTGCAATGACACTGGATATTGGGTCTCAGAGAATGGTAATTTCTATGGAAATTGTTTCTCATAAAATGGGTAGCTACTTACCAAAAGTCACTAAGGCAAATCATGAATTTATTAGAGTCAAAAGGATTGGTAAAATCTGACACACATACATACACATACATGTGTTGGTAGTGGTTATTTTAGAGAATTGAAGGGTGCACAATGCATGTTACATTAGCAATAAATTAAAATCATCTGAGCTTTATGTTGTTCCTTACTGCAATCAACTTAGTGCATAAACCCCTTTTCTCAAGGGTGTATGCTTCACCAAATACTATTTCCAGTAGTCCCTGTGTTGACCAAAGTCCCAGGTCACAAAGATTTGCTTATTTGTTTTGTAAGTAGTTACTGCCTTCACTTTTTTTAGGATGGTGGGATCATACAATTTTAGATTCTCAAATCTAATGTATGTAGTGCTTGCCAAGGTAGGGCTTTTAATAACTTTTGCTCCATGGACCCACTCCTGCTTTGGAGTGTCTTATTGTCTGAAGGGGAGAGATTTGTGTCATGTTGTCACTCATGCAGCTCATATTGCAGCTTTATACTAGAAAGGAAAATTAGTTTAGTTTGAACATTAAAGTTTTATGTTCTATGCACAAGTTTATATCCTCCTTGCTCCTAGCTGAATACACTGAAGATCATTCTGGCTTTTCAGAAGTTCAGATTTCCATATTCCTACAAGAATTTATGGTTCATTCATTATGTTTGTTGTTGGCAGTCACTTGGAAATGCTGTTAATTTATCTGTATTTGAAGAAAAGAGGAATGGTCTAGGCACGGCTTTAATTTTCTAAGCAACTTTCTCCTGCCAAACATATGATATATGTTGGATAGGATGGGCTAGTGGCAATCTAGGTTATTGATATTGATTGATATAAGATCATTAAATTAGTCATTCTGGTATATGGCGTGAGATGTAGGTTACATCCAAACTGCAATTAATTAATTTATCAACAATGAAGTGAATATCTGTCTTCTTCCCTAAAACACAGTAATCAAAAATTTAGAATGAAAAAATACTGTCTGAATAATTTTCAAAACTTTTCAGTATTAAAAGAGTACTGAAATTTGAGAATTACGTGCACATCTGCACATAATTTCTGTGACACTGAAGTGCAACATGCTCTACGTGATGAACTAATGATTTATTCATAATTTAATTTAACCTTCTGTTACATTATTCTGAATTAACTTTCTTGGACAAGAGTATGTCTTAAAAAAAATAATTCGATCTTGATTAATGTTTCAAATGAGAGCAAATTCAAGGAAATTTAATGTGATGCTTAGGTAGTAACTACTTTTGTTGTTAATAATGCCCCCTAATTTGCAGTCTGACTCGAAGCCAGTCTAGCTGCCAGCATGGGTTTCTCTCCATTATGCCATTACCTTTTGTAATGCTATTCTCTTTTTCTTTGGATATTTATCCATTGTGGTCCTTCAACTCCTCTACACTATTTAGCTTCACAAAGAGTAACTAAATTGCTCTTCTCGCCAGAAAGGCATATTTTTCAGTGCTTTATTCATTTTGATCTTTCTCTACCACTCTGTCTAACTTCTCATCCCACTAGGAGGATGGTTATCAGGTTCAGGTAACACTGAGGTAATTCAATTTTCATGCACTTTCAGAGTTTCCCTGGCTTTTTACAAAGTTCATTGTCTTCATCAGATGTTTCCTACAAGCCAGCTGAGCACCAAAACTATGACTTCTGTTTTTTCTGTTTCATCATTAAAAATTGTCTATGGTAAAGAAGTAAACTATATGTCCTTCCTTTAGAAATACTTCAGTTCATTACCCTTTTGCCATACTGAAATACGAAATTTAAAATCTTTTCATTCAGTTTATGTTTTTCATATTTTACAGTATTGGTTATCTTACAGAACATTGTTTCATCAAACCTATTATTTTATAGAATCATTAAATGGTTTGGGTTGAAAAGGACCTTAGTGATCATCTAGTTTCATCCAACCCCCAGTGCCATGGGTAGGGACACTTCCCATTAGACCAGGTTGTCCAAAATCCTTTCCATCCTGGCTTTGAACACTTCCAGGGATCCACAGCTTCTCTGGGCAGGACATTTAGTTTTACCAACTAAACTAACTAGCTAGTTTTATCAACAAGATAATAAATTTGCAATGTCACCTAAAAAGCCATCAAGGCAATTATTATGTAATGTCATTTTAAGGCAATACTTAATAGGAAACCTAGTGTTTATTATTTGTTCTCCATACACAGACATTTTCTTTCTGCCAGTTTTGTGCTTGAGCGCTGTAACCAATGCTTTGTAGTTAAGAATGTTGCTCTTTTAAGTTTCAGCTCTATTGTTCAAGCTGCTTAGTGACTCAAGCAAGTGCCATTTCATCAGTCTTTGAAGTCTGAAAACAATTTTTTGTACTTGGTAATAAAGGAAAAATACAGGAAAAAGCAATTATTTCTTTCCTGTATTGTTATCACATGCATAAAAACAACAGATACTGCAACTGCCTAAATTCACTTCTTGGGTTTCACACTTGGGTTTTTTCCCACTTGGGTTTTATTTCAAATAAAAATAAACAATGTCAAAGCTGTTTCCTTTTTTTGGATGATTTCTTACCAGTAGATTGATTAGCTCTTTCAGATACTTTCATTAAATATAACTACATCAACAACTGTTTTAATAAACTTAACAGTATTTTCTAAGTTATTGTGAACTGTTATTTTGTTTAATCTCTACCGCTTATTTGAAAAATATAGTTCTTGGCACATCATTTAACTTTTAAATATGTGCCTTTTTTCTTCCTAGTTCTCAAGATAATACTCAAGTGTATGTCAGGTATATTCCTCTAAACTGACTCAGTATATACATTCAGAAAGGACACAAGGCTGAAGTAAAACCCCTGCCATTTTAGGGCTGGTAAGGTAGTTTACCCTGTATTCTGAAGATTAATCATTAAAATTACCCTAAAAAATTATAGCAAGGTTCAATAATGTTTCACTTGTAACACAGAGTAAAAGACAAATAAGATCTATTTTAAGGCAACTTCTGCACATTTTATTTTAGGAAGTTTATTCTAATTTCAAGGAATAACTTACGCAAGATCTAATAAATTGTATTGTGCAATCTGCACTTTGATTATATTTTTGGATTGAAAATAACATTCATGAAAAGTGAGAATTCAAAACAGAACAATAGAACAGACAATAATTCAATCTCTTGCATGAAATGAACACAGGGAGGACCACTGTGATTATGGTTTCACATCTACCTTCACCATTATTCTTTGTTTTTCATTTTTTGTAGTGTTATAAGCTGTCTCTTATTTTGCATTCATTGTTTCTAAACAATGTTTAAATACAAAGTACTTCCTCCATGTTCTATAGTCCAGTAGGAATATAAACAGGTGTTTCATCAGCGAATTCTGATTGTGCAAAGATCAGCATTTGCTCAGTAGTTTATTTGAAATGCTTTGTTGGTCCCTCTTCCACAGAGGTTCCACACTTTCAGTATGGAGAATTGTGCATGAGACTGTAAACAACATTCCACCAAGAGAATTGGTCTTGGCTTAGCTGATTAGAACTGTCACTTCATTTTATAGCAGGCATTTTTCCATTTTGCCTTTTGCCCCAAGCAGCCTGGTGCTGGAGCAGACAGATGTCCCTTTCTGCAGCATGCACCTGGATTCCCAGGCCCCTGGCAACAGGTGTGGGGATGGAGATGCTGTCCAAGCTCTTGCCCTGATTTCTGGGGAGAGTACAGCCAGCGCAAAAACAGTAGGATGGAAAGTTCTGACTTTTCTGGCTGACACTGGGAACCCTGGTGGACAAAACTCAGCCCAAAATACAAAGAGAACGAATGTCTGTTTTATTGCTCTTTCTGGTTATCCAATTCTAAAGCACTTTTTAACCTAGTTCTCTGAACAATGATATTCCACTTACAAAACTGGAGTGTTTTTACTGTCTCCTATTTATTCTTTCAGGATTTGTGGATTTAACACTCCATGATCAGGTCCATCTACTGGAATGTGCCTGGTTAGAGATACTGATGATCGGCTTAGTCTGGCGCTCCATGGAACACCCAGGAAAGCTTTTGTTTGCACCTAACCTGTTACTGGACAGGTCAGTCTGTGTGTTGCTGCCAATTATTTAAGTTAATTTATTTCAGCTGCAATCAGATTAATTTTTAGTGTGATATCATCTCACTGATACTACAATTTGACAGTACTTCATATGTCAACCGGGCTTATAGTAGGTGAGACTGGAAAACGAACTCTAAAAAACCTAGAAATGCTCAGGAATATGATACTGCTCATTTATTAGACAAGTAACATGCCTGAGATCCATCTGCTGCTTGAAGTACTTTCTTTCAAAGGCAGCAGTAAATTTCTGTTAAAATCTGTACTGTTGTGGAAGTAACTTAAATTAAAAACTGAACACTATTCATCTAATTCAGATAGGTTTTTTTGTTTGTTTGTTTAAAATCTGCCTAGTTTTTCTTAGAATGATTTTATCCAAGCAGCCAGCAAAATTTTGGAAGAAAATCCTCATAGGATCACAAGTGCAGTCTTATTTATTTATAAAGAATATATGAAGTTTGAGGGGGTTTTTTCCTCATGAAAACTGGAGGCAAATACGACAAACAAATGCTTGCTTCCTTCACTAAGCCTTTTTTTTCAGCCAGTCTTGCTAATATGCTAAGTATTTCTGAGAGAAAAAATATGCATCTCTGCTGTATGACAGTATCCTGGATTTTAGCTGGCAGTCTTCACATTAAAAGCAGGAAGACTGATAATTTAAAACATATTTTCTGCTATCTTAATATAAACTCAAGCTCTCCTTTTCGTAGTCATGGGAAAAAAATTGATGAAAAATTTCAATTAAATTTTCAGAAAAAATTGCTTAGGATAGAGTCATCTTAGCTATTGGTGGTCCTCTTAGTTGAAGACTACTGCCCACACAGCAGAGTGGCAGGGGAAAGCTGCTGTGTGCACTTCAGGGCAGACTTTGGCATCTTGGTCTAGACTGGAAGTGACAGAAGAGCCAAGCTGAGACGGACTATACAGAGAGGCAGCTAAGAGCTGGGCAAGCTTCTGACCTCCTCATGTAGCTGCAGGGGCAGAGGGGTTGCAACAGAAAGTCGAGGGCAGAGCCTTCAGCTGCTGCAGCCACCAGCTGTGTAAATTAATCATAATTCTCATTAGCAGAAAAAATTCTTATGATCAACTTGCTCTGCTGACTGTGGAGTACTGAGTTCTGTGGCTGCATTCATGCGGTGTTAGTCCTTTGATTCCCTGCCCTCTATGTGCACACACCTCCCAGGATTTAGTTTCAGCAAGTTAGTAAAATTCATATGATAACACCTGACAGGATAAAACATTATATTTCACAGTAATAGAGAAATATTTATTGCCTTAGGAAAAACCCTATTCCACTTTTTTAAGCAAAATGATCTGTGAGCTGTGGAACTAGATGAGTATAAAATACATTCTCATTTTAGGTACAGAAAATATCCACTTGTCTAAATGTAAGTATAGTCATCACAAAAAAACCCAACAGCTTTAAAATAATTTTGAAATTTTGGTCTTCCTTAAAATCCCCATGATCTCAGTAAAATGGAGTTTGAGCAGTTGTCTACTGTTGGATTAAAGAAAGCAATCACATGCAAGTAGAAACACGTATTTCTTCAAGGCTCTTTGTTTTTTGAGTTTCAATTAATACTGTAAAAATGTAGATCTATTACATCTACTAATTTTCAAATAATAAGGAATGTGTTTCTAGGTCATCATATACTTGCCTCAATCCATTTGGTAGTGATATTTGCTGAAAGTAAAATAATAAATTACTTGACTCTGAGAAGCACAAATATGCTAATCAGTTAAATAACTCTTAATTTACTAGTTAATTAGTGCTAGCAATATTTTGATGTGTTAATTTGATTTAGGCAAATTGGCTTTTGAGAATGTTACAGGGCAAAAATATGTTTGTCAGGTTTGAGAGGGCAGGACAGACACTGATTCAAAGCCTGTTTCACTCAACGAAGTCCTTCCACTAAGTATTCATAGAACCATAAAATGGTTTGGGTTGGAAGGCATCTGAAAGATCACTAGTTCCAGCCCCACTTCCATGGGCAGGGACACCTTTCACTAGATCACATTGCTCAGATTTCCATCCAACACTTCTGTATTTAGTGAAAATTCCATATTGTTAATACAGAGCTTTACCATACTTCGTGTATGCCTCTAGATCTCTGTGATCATTCTGTTGCAGATTTTAACACCCCTTTCATTTTGTCATCCTGGCTTATCCTGATTCTGACAGATTCTTTCTGTCAAGAATCTTTGATATATGTAGTCATTTGTATACATCTATTCTTACAGCTTAGGTCACACCAAATTTTGTTACACAACTTTTTTGCCATTTGGCTAGATAAATACAGTCTTGTTAACATCTATCTGAAATGTCATAAAAATAACCTTTTAGCTTTGCTGTTCTTTGAAAAAGCATGATCTTTCTTCTTCAATCTCACTCCTCCTACTTGGGTCATATTACACATATGCTTGTCTTGTCTCTGAAGATCTTTTAAAAACTGTATTTTCTAATATTATGCAAGTCAACCAGTTACATTTTCAAATAAATACTTCTTTAACTTTCCTTTGCAACAATTCACACTTGGAAGAGTCCTTGAAAATATCTGTAAAGCAGACCTTAGTTATTAATTCTATGTTCCTTTTTAAAATTTTTCTTTGCCTATAAGAAAATAATTGCTCACCAATTAAGCTGACATTATGTGTAGACTGCTGTCTTCTGTATGGATGAATATAATCCCATTATCTCTTTTTGTTCCCAGTCTGCATTGTAATTAGGCAGTGTATTTTGTGAGGTAATGCACCCTTTCTTATTCTGTTAATGCATTACCCAAACACTTGAGTGTTGGTTCAAAATCAGAAATTTTAACAGTCTGTCAGTTACATAGGACTGGTAGATCTTTTACAGTGTACAACTGCTGCTATTAAAATGCTCAAATCACAATAATTATAGATTAGAAAAACAGGCTCAATCAGGAAATACAATGGCACACTCAGAGTGCTTGCAATTAATGTATAGTACATAATAAAATCAAATAATAAATTCAAGTATTTTATATTCTGTTTTTGAAAATTAGTATATTGTAAAAGGCAAATTTAGAAGAAAAGGCTTAGGTTTCTAGTAGGACAAACCAGATGTTTCCTGTCTGGAGGGTTCCCAAGAAACAAGGCTTTAAAAATGTCATTAGACCAGGGTTGAAATTTGTCAGGCCTGGCAGTAGACTGTTTATAATTTTGAAGAAAACATAATGTTTCTTCAGGAATAAGAAAGTTACATTTTACTATATTTTTGAAGGATTTGTTGCATTCAGATATGCTGATCCCAGGTTACTTGAAGGCTTGAAACATAATTATAAAGAAACTCATGATAGAAATAGCTGGATTGCTGAATCTCACTGGAAACATTCTCAGTATCAGCAAAATGGGAAATTCAGTGCTGCATTTTAAAAAGGAAGCCTGGTGACCACAGTAAAGAAACTGATGGGATGCCATCTAAAGAAGAGAATTGATTGAAGTTGAATGAATATGACATAGTGATAAAGAGTCACTGTGCATTTTGTTAAGAGGAAGCCATGAATACATTGAAGTCCTTTTAGAAATGAACAAGCAAGTAAATGACAGACACCTTGTTGAATTTCCAAAAAGTATTAAACAAGTTCCAAATTTTATGCAGACAAATGTGATGGAGTGTATATAGGAGAATAATTATTCTGATCTTCCTAAACAGCATTCTAAATTGATCTTTCCATCTCACTCTTACCAGCAATTAGTTCTACAGAACTCAGTTCTTTGCTTGCCAGTAGTCAGAGACTGCAGCTTTCCTTCCCTCCCCAGAATCTTTGCAACAGGAAGTAGAAGTAATACAGATCATTGCCATTCCTCTGTTTATTTCTGTGCTTTATCCGTGCTTGGAAAACTATGCCTTTGTGATTTTCCTTGTCTTGACAGTAATCCTGAAAGAATAGGAGAGGTACCCAGAGGTGTTGCATAGGCAATTAAATAGAGATATGAGCTTTGCTACAAAGACTAACTAAATGGACTGACTCCTCTGCCTGTGATACTCATTAGAAGAACAAGAACAAAGCAAAGATGATGAGATTTATATAAAGTCATGAGCACGTTGAGAAGATGTGTGGTAATCCACAACCTATTATCTCTTCCAGCCCAGCACTAGAGGTAGTCACTTGAAAACAGCAGATCCAAATAATGCCTGTGTGCTTAGCCCACAGCTAAATATACCTTTGATATGAGACATTATGGCTGTCTTCATGTTACTTCCTACTGTTATTTTTTTAATCATGATTGCAAAAAATCTCTCGTAGCAAAGAAATCTGTCTAGGGACTTACAAAATTTCAGTTCAATGTAGTCAGTATTTCTGTGTTTCCTTCAGGTTTTTTCCTTCTTTTTATGGAGAAAGCTAGTCTGTTTTTTAGGGTTCGTTTTAATTTGGAAACTTACTTCCACTTCCAGTGCTTGATGAAGATTTTTCCTTGCCTCTAAATAGAAGAATTTTCCTTTTATTGACTTTGGTATTGAGCAATGGCAGGGGACTGAATCTCTTTAAACTGCAACTAAAACAAATAGTAAAAAACCAGCATTCACTGTGTGACAGGGTAGCTGAATAAATTACTTTCATGTCTTTCATAGCTCTTTTTCCAACTTTTCTCACTATATCTGAAAATAATCTTTTAAGTTCTTTATGCAGATATTTTAATAGACATAAAATTAGATACAGCAGAAGAGCATCAAGATGAAATCTGAGTATGCTTTTCCAGTCCCTCAACTTGTAAAATCTTACAGATGTCTGAGGACACCACACTTGTCTGTCATTTCAGTAAGAGCACAACATTTCATGTGAAATTGTGGATGCATTAATTACCATTGACTTATTAGAACAATTGAAGCAAAGTGATCCCAAGTGCTTGATTAAGAATGCTTCCTTAGTGACCTGTTTTTATTTATTTAAAAAGGGAAAAGTCCATAGGCAACAAGTATATCCTGATTTTCCCTTCAAAATGGATTTGAAAAGAAAT